CCCACCAGCCAGGGCAGGGGGTCCCTGGGGTACATGGGGCACCCACCAGTCTCTGTGTGGGGTCCCTAGGGAGCATGGGGTGCTTGCCAGTGATGGTAGGGGTTCCCTGGGGTACCCACTCTTTTGGGTGTGGGGTTTCTGGAGCATATGGGGTGCCCACCAGCTGGGGCAGGGGGTGTCTGGGTGCCCACCAGCTGGGAAGCGAAGCCTGTGGGGTACATGGAGCACCCACCAGCCTGGGTGTGGAGTCCCTGGGGTGCACAGGGTGCCCTCGAACAAGGACAGGGTGTCCCTGGGGAGCATGGGGTGCCCCGCCAGGAGGAGGGGGTGCCCCGTGGGTGACGGTGGTGATGTCCCCCCGGTGCAGGTGGTGCTGTCGCGGCAATACGGCTCCGAAGGACGCTTCACCTTCACCTCCCACACGCCGGGCGAGCACCAGATCTGCCTTCACTCCAACTCTACCCGCATGGCGCTCTTCGCCGGCGGCAAACTGGTAACGGGGAGCGGAGGGAGCCCCAAACGTGGGGTGGGGGTGTCAGCAGGCATCCTCTGATGTGACCCCTAAATTTTTACCCCCACAGCGGGTGCACCTGGACATCCAGGTGGGTGAACACACCAACAACTACCCCGAAATCGCCGCCAATGACAAGCTGACAGAGCTGCAGCTCCGTGCCCGCCAGCTCCTCGACCAAGTGGAGCAGATCCAGAAGGAGCAGAACTACCAGCGGGTGAGGAGGGGGCTCCGGGGGGCACGAAACCCCCTCTTTTTCCCCCCCTCTTTTTACCACAGCTCCTCCTTTATTTTTGTTTTTCAGTACCGGGAGGAGCGTTTCCGCATGACGAGCGAGAGCACCAACCAGCGGGTGCTGTGGTGGTCCATTGCCCAAACCATCATCCTCATCCTCACCGGCATCTGGCAGATGAGGCACCTCAAGAGCTTCTTCGAGGCCAAAAAGCTGGTGTAGCCCCCCCATATCCTCCCACACCCTGGGGGGCGGCTCCCATACCCCAAAGGGTGCTCCCAGAGCCTGGGGGGGCTCTCCCACCCTGATGGGAGCCCCCACAGCCCTGAGGGGACCCCCCCAAAACCCC